AGAAGAAGAAGAAGAAGAAGAAGAAGAAGAAGAAGAAGAAGAAGAAGGTGTTAAAATAAGACTAATGTGTAATAACTATATAACTAGTTAAACTAAGTGTTCTGACCCAGGCTTAGCAGAACCAAGTAACAGACTCCCAACCCCCCTCTTTATTTAGTTACTGTGAATTCATGGCACCCACACACAGAAAAGTCCCAGCAATAATCCTTTCCAAGGGTTAATTGCAAGAACAGACCTTATCAGCCCTTGGATAGTTGCCAGACCGAGAGCTTCCAGTTGCAAAGCTGCAAATTAATTCCTGGCAAGGAGTCTCTGTGAGGCACAAACCATGATAAGCAAATCTTCATAATAATAAGTGAAGTAATTGTCTTCTGCAACCACCATTCCCCTTTTGCTTCTATTTATTCCCCAGGGAGGGGCCATTCAGCATCCACGTGTTCCTTTCCTTCTGAGTTGGCACATTCCTTAATTAAGCTGTCCTGACAGCTCTGTGCATACACGCATCTGGAACAGGCTCCAGCTGTTCTTTTTCCCCACTTATCTCCGACTCTGTAAGCAGCTGCGAAATGTCAGCCCTATCTCTGCATCCGATGCAGAGCATCCATCAGAGCCTTCCCCAGACTCCAGGACTGGCCCAGGTTCCTCCCCAACTCCTCATTGTCTGAGTCTGCCACCAGCTCCACTGGCAGCTGGCGGGCCACAACACTAATTTGTAATAACTATATCCCTTTAGCCATAAAAATTCTGGCGCTAATTGTAGTTATAAGTTGAGGATTATCTATGTGTGTCCAAGAAAGGACCTGGAATTCACAATCTCCCAGTTCCTCATTCAGCATCTTCCCAACAGACTAAAGACTCGGTCATTTAAAGAGCTGAAGAAAAACCAGAAAGGAAGCTTTGGATCACCAGAAGAAGAGAAATAAGAACAGAAATGAATAGGTCTCAGATCTGCGCCTTGATTGAAGTTATGGACAGATTTTTCACTAGAAATAGTTTTATGGAGCTGAAAAATACCGTTTTTTTTCATTCCCACATATGATCTGAGCAAAACACAACCAACTGGGAAATAATCTTTAAAAAAAAAAAAAAAATGAATATTTACATCAGCTGATTCTTGGCGACTCCAGGGGTTCACAAATAAAGACACAGAAAACAATAAAACAATACAATAGCACAACGAATGAAAAAAAGATGCCAAAAACCAGGTAGCAATGAGAAGCAATTCCACACAAGGCAGTCAAAGGCCTGAGGGGTCAAGTCTTCAAGATCCCCCAAAGCATCAAGACAATGGGGGGGGGGGGGCTGGATCTTGGGGGGAGGGACTCATTCCAGAAGGTAAGTGCTGTCACAGAGATGGCTTACTTCTGGGGTCCCCCAAAATGGCATTATTTAATCAAAGGAACCTACTAGCAATAGCACTTAGTCTTATATACCACTTCTCAGTGCTTCACTGCCCTCTCTAAGCGGTTTACTGAGACAGCCAATTGCCCCCCAACAATCTGGGTCCTCGTTTTACCCACCTCGGAAGGATGGAAGGCTGAGTCAGCCTTGAGCCCCATCAGGATCGAATCTCTGGCAGTCAGCAGTGTTAGCCTACAATACTGCGTTCTAACCAGTGCACCACCATGGCTGGAAAGAAGGGAGAGTGGAGGGAGGGAGGGAAATAGCACTTAGACTTATATACCACTTCACAGTGCTTCACAGCCCTCTCTAAATAGTTTACAGAGTCAGCCTCTTGCCCCCAACAATCTAGGTCCTCCTTTTAGTGACTTTGGAAGGATGGAAGGCTGAGTCAACCTTGAACCTGGTGGGATTCGAACTGCTGAATTGCAGTCAGCCAGCAATCAGCAATAGCAGTAGCACTTAGACACCGCTTCACGGTGCTTTACGGCCCTTTCTGAGCAGTTTGCAGAGTCAGCCTTATTGCTCCTAACAATCTGGGTCCTCATTTGACCCACCTCAGAAGGATGGAAGGCCAAGTCAACCTTGAACCAGTGAGGACTGAACTCCAGACTGTGGGCAGAGTCAGCCTGCAATATTGCATTCTAACCACTGTGCCACCAGGGCTCCTAATGCAACATCCAACCAGCTACAGCATTAGCAAGAGCACTTAGACTTCTAAACCGCTTCACGGTGCTTTACAGCCCTCTCTAAGCAGGTTACAGAGTCAGCCTCTTGCCCCCAACAATCTGGGTCCTCATTTTATCCACCTTGGAAGGAGGGAAGGCTGAGTCAACCCTGAGCCTGCTGAGATTCAGTCTGCCAAATTGCAGGCATCTGGCAGTCAGCAGAAGTAGCCTGCAGTACTGCACTCTAACCACTGCGCCACCGCAGCTGAAGAGAACGCGAAACCTGTTCGATCAAAGTGGCTAGGTAGATATTATGGAAATACGATGGGTCCTAGACCATGTAAGGCTTTATAGGTAGCCACCAGACTCTTGAATTGCACCTGGAACCACACGGGTGACCAGTGCGACTCATGAAGCAGAAGAGTTTACATGAGCATACCGAAGCATATACACCCATCTGCTGCATATCTGGAAGAGTTGAAGCTTCTGGGTAGTGTTCAAGGGCTATCCCACCTAGCAAGTTGCAGTTGTCAAGCCAAAAAGGGCCTAGGGTGACAAGATGCCTTTCTGAAGGCACTCCTAATCTAAGAAGGCCTGTATTAAACCCACTATTGCCTATCTTGGGTTCTAGGATAATGCAGAACAGACTGATTTCTGTGTGGTATCTTTTAATGGAGTAGAAAAGAGAGATGGTACCCAGTCTGCCTTTTCTTATCATGAGATTAAACTTGCCCAGTTCCTTCCATCTTTTTTTTTTAAAGGTCTAGTTCTAGTCCATCATCATCATCATCATCATCATCTCTATTGCCTTCCTCTGAACAATTCTGATTTTCCTGAAGCTCCTTTGACCGGAAAATGTTCGGATTTTCTGCTAGTAGTTCATTGCTGTGATAAGGTAGCCCATCATTGCTGCTTTTTAGATCTTCAAGGATTTCCAAAAATAGGAGTTAAATAGATGTTTCTCACCCATGATCTTCCATAACACACCCATTTCTTTCTTTACAAAGCAAAGGGGAAAAAGCATGGATTATCTTTGATGATGGATTATGTCAAAGCTAGATGGTCATCAGGAGAAAGAGCAGGCTGATGGTCCCAAAACCTAGGAGAGGAACAATGCGTTTGCCAGATGCTGACGACTTTAGCATGTCTTCAGTCAATGCCAAGGAGCCATTGTTCAGTTCTGGCTGGATTCCTAGGAGCTTGCACATCAGGGGATAAATGTGGATGCTGTCAAAAGGTTCGGCTAAATACCCCTTCTTGAAATCCGGACCAAAAGCTCTGAAGATGGTCTTCATGTCCATGTCTTCGTTGTCGAAACCGTGGTCCCCTTTGTTGACGTAGATAATAATCCTCTGTGAAGGAACAATTCAAAGTAGCCATCTTAATAGTGCAGCTATTTTAAAAGGATTACTAAGTGCCGCAGAACTATTTTAAAATCCGAGAAAACACTAAAAATTCCATCCTATCCTTTTCCCTCCCTCCCTCCCTCCCTTTCTTCCTTCATCTCTTCCTCATTTTCCTCCCTCCCTCCCTTGCCTTCCTCTTTGTTTCCCTCCCTCCTTCCCTTCCTTCCTACTCCTCTTCCTCATTTTCCTCCTTCCCTTGCTCCCCCCTCCCTTCCGCTCTCTCCTTTCCTCTTTCCTTCCTTCATCTCTTCCTCATTTTCCTCTCTCCCTCCCTTCCTCTCTTGTTTTCCTCCCTCCCTCCTCTTGTTTTCCTCCCTCTCTCCTTTCTTTCTCTTCTTCTTGTTTTCCTCCCTCCCCCTCCCTCTCTCCTTCCTTCCTTCCTTCCTTCCTTCCTTCCTTCCTTCCTTCCTTCCTTCCTTCCTTCCTTCCTTCCTTCCTTCCTTCCTTCCTCCCTCTCTCCCTCCCTCCCTCCCTCTCTCCCTCCTTTCCTTCTTCCTTCCTTCATCTCTTCTTCATTTTCCTCCCTCCCTCCCTTCCTCTCTTGTTTTCCTCCCTCCCTCCCTCCCTCCTTGTTTTCTTCCTTCCTCTCTCCTTCCTCCCTCCCTCCCTCCCTCCCTCCCCCCCTTCCCACCAACACTTCTGCTTTTCATAAGGGCAAATAAATGATGAGCAGATCTGCAAGATCTTTCCACAGTTTCCACTGACCAAATGCAGCAACCTTCTGGACTTGCTACCATAGCAGCCACTACATGTCACTGTTGCTCTACACAAAAACAACGGCAAAGGTGAAGAGCGAAGAGCCTCCTGCTTAAAACTCCTCTTAGACGTAGCCCTGGAGATGCGAAGAGGGGCTTTTGAGCTGTGTGATGGGCAGTCGGCAAAGCAGGCTTTGACAGCCAGTGGCATTTGGAGACCCTCTCGTAGTGAGCCTTATCAGAGTCCACATTTTCCAGCCGACGCATCTGCTATACGATGTCCTGCCCAGACCTTCTCCCTTCCATGCTGGCCATTTAGAAGCGGGGAAGAGATTTCACACGGAGGGTTAATCCAAGTATTCCCCACTTATCAGAAATATTATAGGTTCTCCTGCTTTGAGCAGGGGGCTGGTCTAGAAGACCTCCAAGGTCCCTTCCAGCTCATTCATTCTATTCCGTTCTAAGATGCCAGTGGCCAGCAAATTCTGACCTGCCGTTTGCAGATTTCTGGGGTTGTTTTGGTTTTTTTGCACATCTGCAAGCACTGGCGTGGTTATGGATGATAAGGACAGAGGAGTGCCTTCAGAAGGAAAGGTCAACATGTAAAAGTGAGGAGTTAAAAAGCCCATTATGCAACGGCCACCTTTCTGTTTGAAATTGCATTTTATTGTTTATCGATCAGCTGAGGATGTCAGCGCCTTGGCGGGGACGGAATGTGAAATGCTAATAGCGGTTAATAGGCTAAGGAAAGAAAGCTTTAAAAATGAAAAGGGCTTACATTAATTTCTTTTGCAACGAGAGTTAATGTATTAACAGGACTTCAATATTAAGACCGGGAAAATGTGAGCTTTTTTTTTTTTTAAAGACCAGGGTGAACTTTTGGAATCTCGGAAGTGTCAGTGCCCAAACACCAATTCACCCCCCCCCCCCCGCACCCAAACATAAATAACAACAAATAGATTGGGTTGCTACTTGCCATGACCTCAAACCTCCCTGGATGCTCTGTACCCAACTAATCTGTTTTTTTCTTTCTTTCCTGGTTGGTAGCCTTGCTTACAAGCACAGGCCTGGCTTTTGCAGCCCACCGTATTTCTCTTCTAAGAATCGTCCGTGGAGATTGTGGGATCTTGGCTTACGTTCTTCAAAATAATTGCAATGCCGCAGGCTGGAAGCTGTTTTGTTTTTTACTTTGGGAAGAGGAGGAGAGGAAGGAGAAGGAGAAGAGAAACAAGAAGAAGGACTGGAGGAGAAGGGAGGGAGAGGAAGGAGAAGGAGAAGGAGAGAGATGTGGAGGACTTGAGAAGGAGTGGAAGCAGGAGAAAAAAGAAGAAGGGACAATGAGGAGGACTGGAGGAGGAGGATAGAAAGGAGAAGAAGAAGGAGGAGGAGGAGGAGAGGAGGAGGAGGAGGAGGAGGAGGAGAAGGAGGAGGAGGATAACAATGGGGAGGACTGAATGAGAAGAAGGCAAAACGTAGTCACCGAACTGGTTAGTAACTCCAGTTGAATCCCACCACTGGCAGTGTCACATGTATTACGACTTCACAGGAACTGGGCATGGCTAGTCTAAGGAACAGAAGGACCAGGGGAGACAGGATAGCATCTTCCAATATTTGAGGGGCTGCCACAGAGAAGAGGGAGGGGTCAAGCTATTTTCCAAAGCAGCCGAAGGCCAGACAAGGAATAATGGATGGAAACTGAACAAGGAGAGATTCAAGCTGGAAATAAGAAGAAACTTTCTGACGGTGAGAACAATCAACCCATGGAACAGAAGTTGCCTTTGGAAGTTGTGGGAGCTTCATCACTGGAGGCTTTCAAGAAGAGACTGGACTGCCATTTGTCAGAAATGGCGTAGGGTCTCCTGCTTGGGCAGGGGGTTGGACTAGATGACTGACAAGGTCCGTTCCAACTCTGTTTATCTGTTAAAGTGTCTGTTAAGTCATGCTGCAACGGTCATAAGGGTGAAAAACGGCCCCAAGTCCCTTTTTTTTCAGTGCCCTTGTAACTTTGAATGGTCACTAAATGAATGGACATAAGTCAAGGACTATTTGTAATTTACATCGGATAGCTTTGCACGATTCCTCCCTGCTTCTTTTTAAAAAAAAAAAAAAAACAAGCAAGTTCTTACACACGATTCCGTGTGATTCCATATCCACCTCTTGATCTCCCACCAAACTTACCCCATTGATCACGTAACCAGGATCCCCGTAGAGCAGGATCGGTAACACGCGCTCGTGCTTGGCATAGTGGAAGCGTTCAGGAAACTCTTCCTTTTTGTAGACATGCAGATGAGGGTGGGCCTTTTTCAATTTCTGGTAAATTTCTTCCTCTTTCCCTTGTTTGGGTAGGATCATCCCAAACCCTCCGTAATCAACAATGTCAAACTTCACGAGATCTTTGAATTGGATGGTATCGTTTAACAAGATCTCGTGGATCTCCGGTTTCTTTTTGACAGTGGTCATGCCATGGTCAGATGTAATGATGACATTGAGGGTATCTTTCAACCCGTGTTTTTCTATGGCACTGAGCAGGTAGCCGAGGGTTCGGTCAATTTGTCGGATTATTTTTTTCCTGGCCTCGGTCTCTGGCCCAACGAAGTGTCCAGTATTGTCAGGTTCCCCATAATAAAGTGTGACAAAATCGAAATCTTCTTTAGCAAACCAGTTCATCACGATGTCAATGTTCTCTCTCCACTCGGTCTCATTGCTGTCTGGGTGAGTGAAGGATTCTGCCAAGGTTCTCATGACTGACTGACCACTGTAGTTGGCGTTGCCCCCTGGATAGTGAAAAGAGGCAGATTTCTTCCCCTAATCCAGAAAGAAAACGAAGGAGGGAAGGAAGGAAAAAGAAAGAAAGAAAGGAAGGAAGGAAGGAAGGAAGGAAGGAAGGAAGGAAGGAAGGAAGGAAGGAAGGAAGGAAGGAAGGAAGGAAGGAAGAGGGATGGAGGGAGGGAAGGAGGAAAGGAGAAAGGGAGGAATAAGAAAAAGAAGGAAGATGGAATAAAGGAAGGAGGAAGGAAGGAAGAAGGAGGAAAAGAGACAAAGGAGGAAAGGAAGGGAAAGAAAAGAAGAAAGAGAAGGAAGAGAAGGAGGAAGGAAGGAAGGAAGCAAGGAATGAAGGGAAGGAAGGAAAAGAAATAAAAAAGAAAAGAAAAAGAAGGAAGGAAGAAGGAAAGAATGAAAAGAGGGAAGCAAGGAATGAAGGGAAGGAAGAGGAAAGAAAGAGGAAGGGAAGGAAGAAAAGGAAGGAAGGTAAAAAGAAAGGAAGGAAAGAAGAGAACGGAAGGAAAGAAAGAATGGAAGAAGAGAAGGAAGGAAGAGAAGAAAGGGAAAGAAAAAAGGAAGGATGGAGAATAAAGAGAAAGGAAGGAAAAATGAAGGGGGGATAGAAAGGAAGAAAAAGAGAGAAAGAAAATTAATCACAAATATGAAAATGTAACATTGGAGCTCACTGTAAATCTCACAAACAGACACGGTGGCCAACTTGATATTACAAATATTGATCGCCTATTTTTCTGTCATTTCTGTACTTCTGGAGAACTACTTTCCATTGCAAATCTCCACTTTAAGACTTAAGGCATCCAGAACAAATAAACAAAACACTCAAAACATCTTACAATTAAATTTATGAGCATGACTGCAAATTACTTCATGATTATCTGGGAATAAGTGCCATTGAAATAAATATTGTTTTCTTCAGAATACATGAGTCTTAACCTGCAAACACCATGAAGCTTTTAAGCAGAAATAACTTTTTCTCTCCCAAAATTATAGAGCTTTTAAAATAATACTAATAATATGAATTCCAAAATAGCCATAGTCCAGTATTCTTCTTATCACTCCTAATGTTATCCTGCTGAATTTAATTTCTAAAGTGCTAAGCTGTGGCTGTAAAGTAATAATATTCTTACTGACATTTAATATACTGGGAAAAGGTCAGATTCAGTATAAAATCTAAGTTGACAAAGCAGGCAAATCTTGCAAAGGAATAAAAGAGGAATTTAAGTTCTTAATGTCAGAGCAAGAGTGATGTCCCACATATTTCAAATATTGCTTTTTGAAGGGGACAAGACTGCATTTTCCCTTAGAAATAAAACCCGCTACATTCAGTGGCTCCAAATCCAGATGAACATTAATAAAAGTCTTTGATATTTGTGACTCAGAAGTACCAGAAATTTAAATTGGGTGCATTGGCTGGTATGCATTTGTTCTGCAGGTAGTCCTTGACTTAAGACTACAGTGGAGCCCAAACTTGTTGTGAGATATTTGATGAGTGAGTTTTGCCACATTTTGTTGTGACCCGCCAGCGGCTGACGGAGCTGGCAGATGAGTCGGAGAGTAGTGAGGAGGTTGGGGAGGAACCTGGGCCAGTCCTGGAGGCTGAGGAAGGCTCGGATGAGGGGTTCTGCATCAGAGGCAGGGATGGGACCAGTGCAGGCTGGCAGTCATCAGCTGCCTTCAGACTCAGACAGCAGTGAGGCAGGGGAGTTTCTGAAACCAGTTCCTAGCCTGCGCATGCGCAGGGCTACCAGAAGACAAAAGCAACTGAGCAAGCAGGGTCGACCCAGGAATGAGGCCACACCTCCGAGACAATTGGCTCCTCCCATGTGACATAAAAGAGGAGTGAATGGGATGCGAGCTTTTGCAGGAAGCAATTAGTTCCTTCGCTCAGAACACAAGCTTTGAAAAGTTCTATTTGACTTAGTGTCAAGTTCGGCCTTGCCCTGCGTTTGGCAAATAGTTCTCTGACAGCATTCCAAAGTGCAATAAGGTGGGGGTTTATAAACGTTCCCCTGAAAGACTGTTTGTGAAGCCTTGGAGGCTGTGAATGAACGTAAGTCACAGCCATGGAAATAAAAGAGGGTTTTGCCGGGATTAAGACTGTGTTCTATGTTTTCTAAGGAAGCCTAGGTCAGGACACATTTTATGAGCTTTCTTGCCACCGTTGTTAAAGGAATCACTGCAGTTGTTAAATTAGTAACATGGTTGCTAAGTGAATCTGTGTGATGACCCGGGAAGCAGCACACACATAATAAATTCCCAAACGTAAACAAATTTCCTTTAATGCCTCCAACTTGGCCTCACTATTGAATTGTTCGCAGTTGGAGATTAAACTCTTTCCAAAATAGTCTCCGAAAGAAACAAATACAGTCCAAACTCAAAGAACAGATAACGGAGAAATAAAAAACCGAAACAAACCCACTGTGCAGCTTAGTGTATGTATCAATCTAGTCTGTGGTTTAGCATGTTATTTGTGGTGGAACCTCCAGCTAAACCCTGTTGGGTTGGGTGTTGGGTTGGGCTAGGAGACCTCCAAGGTCTCTTCCAACTCTTTGTTATTCTGCTAAAGTAGAGGGTGCAAGTAAAGAGACTGGGGAGGTTGGAATTCCTCCAGGAGATGACGCAATGGAGATCAAATCCTCTAAAGTTCCCCAAAGCCTTGATCAGCCTAATCCCAAGAGAGTACAGTTAGTCTGGTGAGATTCTTGTAAATAGGCAAGCAACAACCAAGAAGCCACTCTGATCAGCTCACGATGTCATTCTGGTTCCTTGTGCCTGACGTTATGTGAACCAAAGTGTGAGTTGTCCTCTACTTACAACCATGGTAGAGATAAACCAGACTTCTCCAACTGTGGTAGATACAGGAGACCCATCATTTCTTGCCAGCATGAGCAGAGATCTAGGTGGTCAGCTGGATAGCGCCAGCGTGGGGGAAAGCTAACTTATAAATAGTATCATTAAAGAAGGATCCAGAAGAACCCTATCAAACTCTGTGGTCAGTTCCTCTAGTCAGTTACTTTCCAGGTTTGTTGGTAGGATAAAATAGGTCAATCATTTCTATGGTGTATACAATTATGAGCTTGGAGGACGAGTGAGATATAAGCTCGAGTAATTATAGGATGAGATTCCCAACAGAAATGAGCAGAAGACAGCAACAACAGATCTTTGTCCCCAGCAGTATTTTTATGAGGTTGAAGAGATGTTATAGGACAAGAGTGGTCAGCCAACTGCTTCCTAAAACATTGACTTTCTGAGCGCTAAAATGTCACCAATTGGCAGGGATACTGATATCATTGTACAAGGCCATTAATATCCCTGGAGCCTTATAGAATTTTGCAGGGTGAAAGAGCTCCTTGTCAGCTCAAATATTCTTGTCTAAATTTAATTATTTTTTTTTAAAGGGTGGGCTGTTCCTTCTTTTGTGATTTGCTAAGTTCCATTGCAATGCAGATTTTATCTGTGAAGGTAGAATTCCTTGAAAAGAATTCCAAAACAAATTATCTTTTATAATGTATGATGTAGAATGAGAATGGGTAGAGAAAAATGGGTGCGTCGGAACAGTAATATGACTAAATAACCCCCCCCCCCGAGAGTAGTGGTCAAGCTATACAGGTAGTCCTAGACTTACGTCCACAACTGAGCCCAAAATTTATGTTGTTGAGTGAAGTTTGCCCCATTTTTACAACATTTTGTGCCACAGTTGCTAAGTGGATAGCTGCACCTGATTAGTTTAGTAACCTGGTTGTTAAGTGAATCTGGCTTCCCCATTGCTTGTCAGAAGGTCACAAAAGGAGAATCATGTGACACTGCAACTGTCATGAGTATGAACCGGTTGCCAAGCATCTGAACTTTGTTCAAGTGAACAGAGGCTGCAAGGGTTGTAAGTGTGAAAAATGGCTGTAAGTCACACTTTTCAGTGCTGTTGTAACTTTGAATGGTCACTGAATGAACTGTTGTAAGTCAAGGACTACCTGATCTCCAGCACTTGGTTAAGCCAATAAAGCCAACGCAGCCTTAGGCTGCATCAGTATCATGTGTTAGGTAAAGGTAAAAGTTCCTCTCGCACATAATACATGCTAGTCATTTCCGGCTCTAGGGGGCGGTGCTCATCTCCGTTACAAAGCCGAAGAAGAGCCAGCGCTGTCCGAAGACGTCTCCATGGTCAGGTGGCCGGCAGGACAAAACGCTGAAGGTGCACAGAGGAACGCTGTTCCCTTCCCACCAAAGGGGTCCCTATTTTTCTACTTGCATTTTTACATGCTTTCGAACTGCTAGGTTGGCAGAAGCTGGGACAAGTAACGGGAGCTCACTCCGTTACGTGGCGCTGGTGATTTGAACCACCAAACTGCTGACCTTTCTGATCGACAAGCTCAGTGCCTTAGCCACTGAGCCAGTACTGCTTTGTATTGCACTGGTGAGACAGTTGTTGGAATAATGTGTCCAGTTTTGGTCACCATGATACAAAAGCGATCTAGAGACTCTAGAAAGAATACAGAGAAAAGCAACCAAGGAGACCAGAAACCAAAGCATAGGATGGACGATTGAGGGAACTGGGTATGTCTAGTCTAATGAGAAGGACTAGGAGTGACAGGATAGCAGTCTTCCAATATTTGAAGGGATGTCACAGAGGGATATTTGAAGGGATGTCAACCAATTCTCCAAAGCAGCCGAGGGCAGGACAAGAAGTAATGGATGGAAGCTTATCAAAGAGTGATCGAATCTAAAATTAAGGAGAAAATCAGGGAGAATGGCTTTCCTTCAGAAGTTGTGGATGCTCCATCACTGAAGGCTTTACGAAGAGACCGGACAATGGTCTGAAATGACTAGAATAGAACTGGAAGGGACCTTGGAGGTCTTCTAGTCCAGCCCCTTGCTGAAGCAGGAGAACCTATACCATTTCAGATAAGCGGCTGTCTAGACTCTTCTTAAAAATATCTAGCGATGGAGTGCTTCTACTGCTTGATTGTCTTCACTGTTTGGAAGTTCCTCCTTAGTTCCAGGTTGTTTCACTCTTGGATTAGTTCCCAACTCTTGTTTCTTGCCTTCTGGTGCTTTGGAGAATAATATGACCCCGTCCTCTTTGTGGTAGCCCCTCAAATACTGGAATACTGCTCTCAAGTCTCCGCTAGTCCTTCTTTTTTCTAGGTTAGCCAAACCCAAACCCTGCAGCCGTTCTTCATGTATTAGTCTCCAGGCCTTTGATCGTCTTTAGTTGCTCTTCTCTGCACTTTTTCCAAAGTCTCCACATCTTTTTTTGTAGGACGGTGACCAAAATTGGTTGCAGTATTCCATGTCTTAAAGAAGAGATTGGATCTGTCCAGAATGGTTATAGGGTCTCCCAGGGGATAGGACGAGAAAACCTCCAAGGTTCCTTCCAACTCTTGTTATTCTATATACCCCATTTTGTCTGGGGTCTTTGGGAATTCCTTTCCACCCCCTCTCAGATTGAGCAGCCTGTTGAATTTCCATTGAGTCAAAATCTGAGTCAGACAGATTTCCTTTCCTCCCTTAATTCCAACTGAGCAATTTAATAAAACTCTCATACAACCTAATTATGTTGAAACCAGAGAGTATTTACTGTTCCTTCCTCCCTATTTTATTAACATAATCAACTTTACTAACAGCTATAAACTTGCAATCATATCAGTTTTACTGGGAACATTATTTGCTTCCTCCCTTTTATTACAACCATTCTTATTGTTCCTGAAAAGTTTTGCAGGGAGGCAGCTGGTAGATTTTCCCTGATGATATTCCCTATCTCCCGTCCTCATTCTTTGCACTGGATCTTTTGCTTATTCAAATTAAAGTGTTTTGTATCTCTGAGCTTTCTGCTCCTCAGGATGAAGATGGTTTTCAATTTGACATAAGCTAGATTTAAGCTGCGTGAGCTTTTTAAAATTCTTGTTCCATGTGTCATTTGAATTAACATCACCCTTTCCCCTGTGTGAGGGCAAAGAAATCTTCGCCACGTTCACTGTTGCTAAGCAAAAGACTGTAAGTAATTGAAAAGAAAAGAAGAAGAAGAAGAAAATAAATAAACCATATTGTTTTGTTGGAGTTTTCCAAGGCTGCCACTATGTCTGATGGCCTACTTAGCCTCATGCTGTAATAGACTTTCTGAGGAATATACTCTGCTCTGAAAAATGATAGATTGATGCATTACTGGAAAATCAAATGAAATAAAACCATATTTACTCCATTTAATTGTTCAAAGTAACATTGGGTGACATTCCGATTCCACTGTTCACCTCTAAATTGCACACAATCTGGCAGATTTAAAGCCAAGCTAAGGGGAGGAGTGCTTAAGTGATTTCTCAGAGTTCAGGTAACAAATAAATGCAATTCACAGAATAACAGGATAGGAAGGGAACTTGGAGGTCTTCTAGTCCAGCCCCGATCAAGCAGGAAACCCTATAATCATTTCAGACAAATGGTTTTTGTATCTCTTGTTAAAAACTTCCAGCCATGGGGCACTCTCAACTTCTGGAAGCAAGTTGTTCCACTCTTTAATTGTTTCTAACTATCAGGAAATTTTATCTTAGTTCTTAGGTTGCTTCTCTCCTTAATTAGTTTCCATCCATTGCATCTTGCCTTGCCTTCAGGTGCTTTGGAGAATAGCTTGACGCCCTCTTCTTTGTGGCAGCCCCGCAAATATTGGAAGGCTGTGATCATTTCACCCCAGTTCTCCTTTCCATTAAACTAGACAGACCCAATTCCAGCAACCATTCTTTATACGTTTTAGCCTCCAGTCCCCTAATCATTTTAATTAACCGAGCAGAGGCAAGAAATGACCTCAAAGAAATAAGGAGGGCAACCACATGGGATAGCATTCAGCTGGTTTGCACAACTTTGGAAGAACCGGTTGTTAACTTTCTGAGCAGTTTGGCGAACTGGTTGTTGGAAGAAATCATTAGGACCGAGAACCGGTCGTTAAATTATTTGAATCCCACCACTGTGTATAGCACAACATAAACCCTAAGACTGGACACATTGCATTAAACCACTGTGTAGCTTAATTTTGTTTTGTTTCAAGCCATATTGTTCCAAATTTGTGGAATGTTGGTTGATGCTTCAGTTGGTTGGATGAAGCATGGAGCTGTGCTGAGAAAACCAACTGTAACTAGGCCATAGCAGTGATTCCCAACCTTGGTATGTTTAAAATAGATGGACTTCAATTCCCAGAATTCCTCAGCCATGTAGATATCAAGCCATGATGACCATTGGACCCATTACCTGATTTTGAGCTGTGATCCAGAGGGGAAGAACTCCGTTGTCCCACCATTCGGTCTTGTTCTGGGTTTTTTTAAAGCCGTACTTCCGTAGAGTTTCCGTGTTGAACATCATATTATGGATGACTCCATGATCTTCAATCCAGCGACCTGGAAAAATAAGATGAGGGAAAATGAAAAGTGGCAAAGGGCAGGTTTTCTAGGAGTCCTGCAGCACTTGTCCACCCTAACTATGCAGAGAAATTGCACATTTTCTTGAAAGTGTGGCTGAAGAAATGTGGCTTAAGTTGAAGGCAAAGGCAAAGGAAGCTGTCCAGTTTGAGTCTACAGAAATGGAACAGTGGACAGAAAGTTTGCCCTTTTGAAAGAGAGAGAAGGTTTCCATAGTCCAGGGGCATCTTCAGAACTTAGGGAACCATATGGACTTCTACGTTGTCCTTCAGAATTCCAGCTTGCTCTTCATCCTTGGACTCCACAAATTCTTTCTTCAGCTGAAACTTGGAAGCAACTGTTCGGGCCAAGGCTTCCTGAGACAGCAACAATCACGTGCCCCCAAACCTCTTTTTTTTTCAACAGCTGTGAATTACATGCATTCACAGCCTGTAATGAGTCCCAGACAGTTTGTGAATAGTCCAACAGAAGTCTGCCACAGTCTTTTTGGGATAAGGCTGATAAGCATCCACCTTTATCTCCCTTGAAATGCTGCCAACGACTGAATTTCCAATTAGCTGTACAAGGCCAAATGGAACACAAAGTCAACACAGAGCTTCAGAGTTTAAACCGACCAGAACGAACAAAGTTGCTTCCTGCAAAGGCTCAAGTCCAATGGTGGGATTCAATTTTTTTTTACTACTGGTTCTGTGGGCATGGCTTGGTGGGTGTGGCTTGGTGGGTGTGGCAGGGGAAGGATACTGTAAAATCCCCATTCTGTCAGCTTTGGAAGCCATATTGAGACCAGATGCTCCCACGCTGCCACATCTCAGCCTGGGAAAGTGGGAGGGCGGGGGAATATATTGGAATATATCTAGTTGGACATAATAACATTCTTTTTCTGATTCAAGGTCAGGTTGTGTTGTACATAACAGAGAGAAAGTCTTAACTGGGGACGGATGGTGATTGGGCCATGTGATGTGATGATGGGTGCAGGGAATGGATTTTGTAGTTTTATTTCTTACTGTAAGGAAGCCTGAAACTTTCAGATTTGGGATTCCACAGTTGTGCCAGTTTACTATCCAAAATAAAAGGAACCTTCAAGAGATGTCTGTCTCAGAGTCATTGGGTGGAATGGAGTGTTGCTGGAAGGCTGACACATTCCCTCCCCATTCTTGGGGGATGGTTACCACCGGTTCTCTGAACTACTCAAAATTTCCGCTACTGGTTCTCTAGCACTGGTTAGAACCTGCTGAATACCACCTCTGCTCATGTCCCTTTGCTCCTCCTTTATGTCTTAGGGGAGAGGCCAATCATCTCCAAGCCTTACCCCCCGAGTCACCCCTTGTGTCTTAACTGTTCTTGCCTTCTGGCAGCTCTGTGCACGCATTCACTGGGAACAGGCTCCCTCTGTTCCTCTGCCTTGCTGATGTCAGATTCTGCAGGCTCTGGAGTCAGCACATAACTCTCAGATGGCCATGGCCCCATCTCTGTGTCAGACGCAGATCCCTTGTCCGAGTCCTCCCCAGACTCCAGAACTGGCCCATGTTCCTCCCCATTGTCAGACTCTGCTGCCATCTCTGCAGGCCGCTGGCGGACCACAACAGCAGTTGCCATAAGAACTCAACTGTCTTTGTCACCAGGGGAAAGAAAAGAAGATGAGAAAATCTGAACAGATACTGCTTGGTGAGCAGATGTTTACTCATCAATGAATGGGGAAAGCTCTCATCTCCTCTAAGCAATTGAGAACAAAAGGAGAATTTCTTCTCCAGAGACTATTCTCTAGCATCTGTTGCTTGTGTTGATTATGAGGGAAGGGAGCCAACACAAGTAATAGAGGGACAACGGAACATCAATGTCTTCTGCATTAAGCCTTCTTGGGGGCCTACTTAAAGCAGTTTAGAAGTATCTTCCAAATGGCTTGCAAGACGACCTACTGTGTGTATGTGTGTGTAAATCAACTATCTTCTAAAGAACAGAGGAACACAGAACATTGCAGAAACACTAAAGCGATATTCAGCTAAATCTAGTACACAACTATTTTATTTTTTTGTTGCCCAGCTAGGACCTGATACTTCCTTTCTACTAATGAACATGGTTCAGGACAATCTCACAAAAAAATGTGAGCCTGTTGGTTTTTTCCAGGGAGGCATTCCTAATGATGGGTTATGAGTATGCACTCAGCACATTTAAACAACAAATCCAAAATCTGGAGGCTGAGCAGACCAATCAAATCTTTATCGTGGTCATAACCAGCATACCCAGCACTACCAGTCTATTCTAACTAAGAGCAAGGAGCACAGTGGCTCAAGTGGAGGTTAGCAAGCTTGTGTTTAAGACCCGAGTGCTTCTGCATGGTGGGATGAGCCCCCGTCACTCACTCTTACTCCTTGCACAGATATGACGGAGCACCCCTCGGGCAACAGCAATTCACCAACTAATTCTTTCAACAAAGAAACGCCTTGAACAGTGCCTCTGACACAAATGGGACGGGACCTAAGAGCACTCTTTTCTGAGCAGTCAAGACCCTTTTTACAAACCAATGTGACAATGAACCCTAGATAACTATTGTCGAATGCCAAAGAGCACTAACTCTAGCATACTTCAACCATCTCCTCACCACCGTTTTGGAGGGCTGATACGAAAAAGTCCGCTGTGAGTTGAAACTGTGCCCCTGTGGAGAAGGGGTTGCTATATTGTACCCTCTATCAGGATTCAAGAACTGGCCTTATAACCCTTACCTGGAAAGCACCTTGGAAATTCTGATCTTTTAAACACCTTGATGGTGCAATGGTTAGAGTGCTGTATTGCAGGCCACTTCTGCTGACTATTGGCTGTTCAAATCCAACCAGGCTCAAGGTTCACTTAGCCTTCCATCCTTCTGAGGTGGGTAAAATGTGGACCCAGATTGTTGGGGGGGGGACACAATATTCTGACTCTGTAAAATTGCTTAGAGAGGGCCGTAAAGCACTATAAAGTGGTATATAAATCTAAGTGCTATTGCTATTTTATATGTACAGTTGTATTAATTGTATATGTATAAGTTGGGTTGACAAAAATCAGAAATGAGGAGGTGATAAGCCACCTGGGAAAGCCAAGGGAACTCATCAAAACCATAAAAAAATGGAAGTTAGAATATTTTAGGCATGTGATGCGACAACTGGAAAAATATAGCAAGCTTCACTTAATCCTCCAAGGAAAGAGGGAAGGCAAACGGGGTCCAGGCAGAAGAATAACGTCATGGCTTCAAAATCTGTTTGGACCAAATTCGACAACCCTTTTTCGTGCGGTTGTTGATAAAAATAGGGTCGCCAATGTCCGATGATGAATATGGCACAAGAAGAAGAATATGTACAATTATTGTTATCAGATCCGAATGATTCCGTCTCCTGGAACGTAGATAAATTTTGTTATGCTGCCTGTAAAATTAGGCAGGCTTTGAATTATCCACTGACGTAGCTATTGCCAATTGCAATATTTTATTATGTTTAGCTTTTGCTTTATTTTTTATTTTTGTATGTATTTTTGTTTGGAGTGCTGGTCAGTGATTGTAATAAAAGCCCTTCCTTCCTTCCTTCCTTCATTCTTCTAAAGCACCAGAAGGCAACTTCATCTTAGAATATTCCTTCAGTTCATAAACTTTGGGCGAATGCTTCTCATGCCTGAGCATAATTATTCTTATTTAAATTAACAGGATAATTATGCTGTCTACACAACAGCAGTTTGCCTACTATTCAGTGGTATTCAATTGCTTTGAAACTCATTGAATTTGATACTCAATGCATTTTGACGTGAAAATTTTATCCTGGTACTCACTGTTTGCACAGTACTCAATACACAGGCTAGAACATGTCAGTGTTGGCTGTCTTGTGACTCACTGCATTATTACTTATGGGAAAAAATTGTTTAGTACTCATCATTTTTGGTACTCATCGTGTCTCCTGGAATCAATTAAAGATGAGTACAGTAAATCAATGTATTCATACATCCATTCGTTGGTCAATGCAGGGGTCTTCAAGCTTTAAGATTTGTGGACTTCAACTCCCAGAATTCCTCCTCCAGTCATGTTAGCTCAGGAATTCTGGGAGCTGAAGTTCACAAGTCTTAAACTTGCCAAGTTTGAAGACCCTTGGTTTAGAGTGATTTAGATCGTTCTGCTTCGTTACTAAGATATAAAGTGATTTTGGGGTCCAGTGAGCACGTGAACATCTGAAATTCCACAGTGCTTTCTCTCTCCACCCTGACAAGAAAAAAAAAATGCTTGCTAACCTCCACTTTAGTTTAACCTCACTAAATTATACCCTAGAATTAATTAGGTGCAAACGTTGCCCTTTCTAGCCAATCACATTCAAATACTAATTAAATCATTATCTTAGTAATGCATTTACTTTATGGGAAATTCTTTCTAATGAGGAATATTAATTAAAACTTGTTGAATGACTTGTAAGCATATAAGCATATCGGCTGTCTGCTTTAATTAATTTCCAGTAAATAACGAGCACATGTAAACATGTAATTGCATTACAGATTTTTAGAGCTGTCTTGAATTTGGTCAGCCTTAAAGGAAAAAAAAAATCTCAATTTTTTGCACGTTGTCTCTAAGGAAAATATGGAAAATGATTTTTTTTTTTACTGTAAACATAATTTATAGAAAGAAGAAATGTTCTACTTTTTATTGGCTATAATGATTATGCTGTTTTCACGCATTATATTAATGTATAGGGTGCACATTTGTGGTTTTGGTTTAGCATAGTATATCAGCCAGAGGTGGTATTCAGCAGGTTCTGACCAGTTCTGGAGAATTGGTAGTGGAAATTTTGAGTAGTTTGGAGAACTGGCAAATAGCACCTCTAACTGGCCCCGTGACTCTGAAAAACAACCGCAAATGGAATGGGGATTGTTGTGGAGGGAAATGGAGGGAAGCAGAGACCGAGAGCCAGAGGTGGCATTCAGTCAGTATCGGAAATTTTGAGTAGTTCAGAGAACTGGAAAATCCCACCTCTGACTGGCCCCGCCATCCCCATCTCTTCTCCGCCTCCCATTGAGTCCCAGCTGATCGACTGGGTCTTCTTTGGTTGCCCTGCAGAGGAGAACGGAGCTGGAAAGCAGGTTAGTGGGGTGGGGAGGGAATGGAGATTTTGCAGTATCCTTCCCCTGACATGCCCACCAAGCCACGCCCACCAAGCCACACCATGCCCACCAAGCCACGCCCACAGAACCAGTAGTAATTTTTTTTGAATACCACCACTGATGTCAGCCCTGTTATGTAGCCCCAAACAAGGAATCAGCTCCATAGGAAAACTGAAATTACTTTAATTGAGATTTATATAAGAGCAGAATGTTGCAAATCTGATTGCAATGCACTTATACCTTCTTCGCAAAATGCTATAAATTAGAGAGATGTTTATTTGAGCCACTTCCAAATGTTATCTCATTTTTCTAGAATTAAAAAAAAAAAAGCGAACTTCATTCTTTTTTACATTGGAAACAGATTTTACCTATTCCCATCAATTCCTTACTTGCTACATGGGCTGGTTAAAAACTGGATTTGTCTTTTCTTTTTAAGCTGAACCTGTAGATTGATTAAATGATGTCCTTCCTTCCTTCTGGGTTGATTGAAGAGCTGTGGTGGCACAGTGGTTAGAAGGCAGTACTGCAATTAATTCTGCTGACTGCCAGCTGCCTGCAATTTGGCAGTTCAAATCCCACCAGGCTCGAGGTTGACTCAGCCTTCCCTCCTTTTGAGGTGGGTAAAATGAGGAGCCAGATTGCTGGGGGCAAGTGGCTGACTCTGTAAAGCCGCTTAGAGAGGGCTGGAAAGCACTACAAAGTCTAAGTGCTATTGCCCTTCCTTCCTTCCTTCCTTCCTTCCTTCCTTCCTTCCTTCCTTCTTTCCTTCCTTCCCAACGGTTAGAATGCAGTATTGCCTGGAATTCACTACCTGACTCTGTTGTTACATCCTCTAACCCCCACAGTCCTTTAACCTCAAACTATCCACTATTGACCTCACCTCATTCCTAAGAGGTCTGTAAAGGGTGTGCATAAGTGCACAATCGTGCCTACAGTCCCTGTCTTATCGTCCCCATTTATTTGTACCTATTTCCTGTATTCTTACTCATGCTTATACTTATACCTATTATCTTGTAAGTGATTGACAAATCAAATAAATAAATAAAAATCAATTGCTGGAGCAAAACTGCCAACACGAACTCTGGGATGTTAATTGAGATCCTCTTTCTCATCAACTTCTGGGGAATGTTCTCCAGAAAATAGGTAGGGCTGAAGAAAAAAGGACAGCCTTACCTGTGATAATTGTAAAATGCGAAGGCGAAGTCATGGTCACAAAGGGAGGTGTGATGTATTTTGCTTTCACGCCTTCCTTAGCCAGATAATCCAAATGGGGAGTATCTACATCCTCATCATAATTCCATCGGAAGCCATCAAAGGAGATCAGGAGGAGCTTGCGGACACCTGCTGTCTTCTCCTTCTGAACAGCTGGATGGCAAACCACACCAGCTAGAAGGATCAAATTGAGAGCCAGGATGTTTTGTGTCTTCATTGTGTTGCTCTGGCTAACAGTTGCGAGATGGTCTTTGTTCAGTTGTCCTTCTGCTCTTCTACTCTCGGGGTGTTGTAAAAGTTAATTTTTTTATCAGAGCAAACCTCAGCCTAGATAAGATTAGCCGTTGCTGTGTCACCATCTTTCCGATATCACAGGAGGAAGAAGAGTGAGCCAAATGTTAATTTAATATATCTGTCTTTTAAGATTTTAAAAGATTGGAGCAATTAGGAATAAAAAGAGGAAGGAAAATCATATTTGTTGATGCTGAATGTTTGGGATACAACCATTTGGTGATTAATTATTTGAGGTGCTGGTGATGGAATTAAGCCAAAAAGTAGCTCTGATTCTTTGGACAGTAATCTTTCTAATCATAATCATAATTTAAAAAAATGGAAAGAGTGATTTGATTAGAATTGTATGTATAATTGCCAGCAGGGCAATTATACATACAAAAATATTTTCTAAATTCCCTTCTCTTCATATCTTCTTCCTTTCCTTTCCTTTCCTTTCCTTTCCTTTCCTTTCCTTTCCTTTTTCCTTTCCTTCCCTTCTCTTAATCTCTTCTTCCTTTCCTTCCCTTTCCTTCCCTTCCCTTCCCATTTTTTTTTGAATGCACATCTTATTATTTAAGCAATTTCTCTTTAAAAAAAACTATTTTAAATAGGAAAGTTCTTATAAAAATATTCAACTATAGGAGTGGATGGCTATAATAAATATAAATTACTGCTACTGATAACAATAGTAATAACAACTCTGGTCAGCTTACAACTTACTAGTGTATTTATGTTTTGTATTTAGAGGACATCCAGCTCCCTCATAATTCATATATAAATTGCAGTTGTTGTAGACCATCTTAGACAAAAATGATTAAGTTATCGGCAGCACCTTAAAATCTAACATCTTTATTTATGGCACTCCTAGAGCCATGGTAGCACAGTGGTTAGAATGGAGTATTGCAGGCTAATTCTGCAATTGGGCAGTTCAAGTCTCACTGGCTCAAGGTTGACTCAGCCTTCCATTCTTCTGAGGTCGGTCAAATGTGGACCCAGATTATTGGAGGCAACAGGCTGAATCTGGAAACCACTTAGGGCTGCAAAGCACAGTGAAGCGGTATATAAGTCTTAAGTGCTATTGCTATTATTGGGCTATTATACCTGGCCTGCTATCCATGGTTATTCCCAGTCACCTGTATGAAGAGGGAACAAACGTTTGCGTCTTGCATTTAAGGCAAATGCATCTTGAGTCAAGGCACCCAATGAAACTCAATGTCATTTACCAGTGGTTGGATTCAAATGTTTTTACTACTCGTACTGTGGGCGTGGCTTGATGGGTATGGCAGGGGAAGGATACTATAAAATCTCCAGTCAGAGGTGATATTTGCAGGTTCTCCAAATTAGTCAAAATTTCCGCTACCAGTTCTCCAGAACTGGTCAGAACCTGCTGATTACCACCTCTGGTATTTACCCTTCTCTAAATGTAGATATGTGGTTCTTGAAATGTGTGTGTCTTTATTTGGAAGGAGAAAAAAAACAACCCTGAATCTCAAAAATGCACTGCTTTATGGGGAACTATCATTGTGCATGTCTATGCTAAAATAGAAACAAAAATAATTACATTCAAAGTTGAAAATGCTTGGAGGATTTAAGAACATCCACTTTTTTTTTTTTTTTGCAGCGCAAAAAATCTGGTAACTTCGGCAACTGAGCTTCCGGCTTTAATTCTCATTGCTTTATAATTAGCCAACCTGGTTTGTCAATAACTGGCTAACCTAGATGAATGCCAGGTGACCCCTTTTGGGGTGTGTGTGTGTTATAAAGGAATCCGCTACATTTGGAAGCTGGGAAGCTCAGTAATTAAAACTGGGACTTGTTCTAGAGAAGGCGAGAGAAGAAAATTAAACTGCCAACAATGAATAATGAGAAATCTTTGACGGAATTAGCGATGCTGACAGATGCATAAGGCTTCCTGATTTTCTCTGGAAACTTAAAAGTTTTAACAAGCAGAGTGGGGGGGGGAGAGGGAGAGAGAAAGAGAAAGAGAGGGGGGAAAGAGAGAGGGAAAGAGAGAAAGAGAGGGAGAGAGGGGG